AGACTGGCAGGGATGATTCCCTTTACTCTGGGATCTCTGGAGAGCGTGTTCAGGCATGTTCTCGCCCTCGGGAGCCACGGCAGGAACGCAGGGCACAGGAACATGAGAATCTGCTCTAACCAGCACTTTACAGTTCAGCACGCACTGAGAGAGCAGGGCAGTTCTCATGACCCCATTTGACAGAAGGTAAAACCAAGGTCTGGCAAATGACTTGCCCAGCGCCACACAGTGAGTCACGAACAAACACAAACAATGCGCTTTCCCCAAGTGCAGCTTCACGTGGTCAAAGACATATGCAAGTAAATAGGACAGCTCATTTAAAACCAAGACAGTGTATTAAATCAGCAGTTGCCCAGGAGACAACTGTGTATCAGAAATCCCCACTCAGTGCCTGAAAATGCATTCAGCAGCAGGAAAGTTCAGCACTCTTTTGAAATCTTGCATCCAGATGTAAATTCTAGTTCCCAGAACTGGTTTACCCGCCATCTGCCAAAGCCCACACCACTGGTTCAAGGGGGTCAGGGAATGCCTGACTCTGTTTACACGTTAACTTGCCAACGCACATTTCCAAATAGAGCTTGCAAACCAATTTAGCATCCCATCCCTACACTGTAAAACAAAGCATGGGCCAAAAATGTTCATATGTGTGTAATCAAGAAAACTTTTCCCCATTTTTTTTCATGTTCTTCATTGAAGATGCTGGTATTGATGAGAATTATCAAGCGGGTGGTTCTGAGAATTATCATGAATTATTAGAGAATCTGCAATTTTCTTCTGGCACTGAGGACAAAATTTCCAATGACGGTAAATGCAACCCAGCAATTACCCCTGCCCAAGTCCAGCTGTAACAGGAGAGGCAGGAGTCAGGCAGACCCAGGCAGAAACATCTCCTTGGCGGAGGATAAATCTTTGGTGGGAGAACGTGCCTGCTTCCCCAGGTTGGGCAGATCTCCCAGTCTCTGTTGGGATTGAGGGACCCCCAGCACCCCTACCTGCTGCCATGGGGCTGACCCTGGAAAAACCACAGCTCAGGGAAGCACAGCAGAAATGTCTCAGGGGCAAGCAGATGCCAGGACAGGAAGGCAGGTGCTGCCACAATGCCTGGCCCCTTCTCCCAAAGCTTCAGCCAAGTCACTTCTCCTTCCCAGAACAGGTGCAGAGAGAGCCAGAGTGCCCCCTGGGGTTTCCCCCAGAAGTGGGGAAAAGCCTCTGTCCAACAGATGAGTCTGCGGGGAAAAAATCAGTACGCAAAGGCCCTGAGGATAAGATGCTTGGACCCCACGGGGAGGGGGGTGGTGAAACACATCCTCTTTACCCTGGAGGTTCAAAACCAGAAAGGGCACATGTATATGACCAGGTGTGTAAGTCCGTTCTCACGCTGCTATAACAAACTACCAGAGGCTGAGTAACTTAGAAAGAAAACAGGTGTCATTGGTTCGTGGTTCTGCAGGCTGTGCAGGAGGCATGGCTGGGAGGCCTCAGGAAACTTAGAATCACGTCAGAAGAGCACAGGGGAGCATGCACATCTTCACATGGAGACAGGAGAGAGAGAGTGAAGAGGGAGGTGTTACCCACTTACAAACAACCAGACTTCATGAGAACTCACTGTCGTGAGAACAGCAAGCGGGAAATCTATCCCCATGATCTGATCATCCCCCACCAGGTTCCTCCCCCAACACTGGGGTTACATTTTGACATGAGATTTGGTTGGGGATACAGAGCCAAGCCATATCAAGGACACACATGTAGGACATCTGTGGTCTTCCCCATACACAGGACCAGCTCACAGATCCACAGTCTGATGGTGTGCCAGGAGCAAAGCATTTCTGCAGGGGCCCAGGAATCTGCATCCATTACCCCAAACAGTCCCCCGACTAAGACAGAATCTGGAGCTGGGAAGGATTGAACTAGTTTTTTCAAGGCTTAAATAAGAATAATATTCTATTTAAAATTAACATGAATACCTAATTTGTCTGCCTTATGGTTAGCGTGGTGTTTGCCAACTGGTGATTTTCTCTTTCTGCCATTGTGTCTCCATTTATTAATTGGGATTCCGTTTTAAGTAAGTGCTGCCTCCACTCCCCTGTTGGTTTATGTATTCAGTTGTTTATTACTGTCTACATGGGCTCCTGGGGATTTACCGTAGTCTGTGGGTTATAAAACACTAACACCATTACTGATTGTGAGCCAAGAACTGAGTGCTCAGTAAGTTCAATGGTACAGCATTCCTTCTGGGCCCTCTCCACAGACAGAGCTAGGAAACGCATCCCTGCAAATCACAGATCCATGCAAAGCTTCCCTTTCTGCTCACCCTCCTTTCTTCCTATCCCAGTTTTGTAGCCATGATCTTTTGTATGTCTTTTCTGTTGTTTGCAGCATTTTGCCATTTCAAACACAGCTGCGGTGAGCAGCCTGATCACAGGTGTTTTCAAACTGTTGGAAATTATCTCGAGGGATAATTATCTCCAGGGTCAATTCTTAGTATTGGGAGGTTGGGTCAAAGGACGTGTGGAGGAGTGAATATGTAGTTTTAATAGTCAGATGAGGCCTGGCTCTGTGTTCACATATTGAGTTTCCAAAACATATTTTCAAATAAAACTTGAAAATGATATTAGCATTTCAACTTAGCATTTTTTTAAATAAATGACCAAAATGCTTATAACTGTGTAATCAAGAACATTTTCCCCATATTCACCATTGAAGAAACCAGTGCTAATGCGAATCTCCATGGTGCTCATTCTGAGAATTATCACGGGCCACAGGTGTCTCCTGAGAGTGAGGAGAGTTTCCAGCAAAGGTAAACGTGCCCTGCCCATGCTGAGAGCTCCACAGGAGAGACGGAGGCAGAAGTGTGTGAGTGACTGTCTCCCTCCAGCCTCGCCACAATGCCTTGTTACACCATTAGGTTTCCAACAACCTCGTCATGATGAGAAGCGGTATTTGTCTTACCGCTTTTATTTGTAACTGTCTCAGTATGAGTGAGTTTGAAACTTTCCTATGTTTAAGAGCCATTTTTATATCACTTTTGTAAATGTTGCATTTATTACATTTTCCCATTTTCCTTTAGGGTTTTGGTTTTTTTTTTGCCTCAATTTCTCAAAGCTGTTTATATTTTAAGAACATTAAAACTTTGAGATACATGATTGATATAGAGATGACAGACTGATTGATAGATTGATACACGGATAGATAGATGATTGTTGGAACTTATTAGTTGACTTTTGACTACGTTTATAATTTTTCATGCAAAAAAAGTCAGTTTTTATATAGACAAAATTATCCATTTCTGACTGCCTTTAGCTTTGAATCTGAGTTAGAAAGTGTTTCTCCACACTGAGGCTAAAGAGGAATTTGTTTTCCTCCAGTACTTACAGGACTTCATCTGCTATGTCAAATCACGGCTCCATTTGGAGTTTATCCCTGAGCATGGTGTGAGGTGTTCCCAATTTTATCTTTTTATGAATGGCTACCCAGTTATCCCTGAACCATGTTTTAAAGGCCCATCTTTGCCCATGGTTTGCAAAGCCACACGTATTACACACTGAGTTTTCCTGTGTGTGACTATCTCGTCTGGGCCATGCAGCACGGTCCCCTACTAAGGGGCCAGCACCACAGTGTGCTATTCAGACTGTATTTTAACCACTAAGACACATTTCCCTCTCTTAGTTCTTCATTTTAGCTTTTCTTTTTCCATGTTTCCCTGATTATAGTTTTGGTAACATGTCTAATTTCTTTTCCTTGAGTTTGATTATATTTTTATTGGGACTGCATTACATTTGTAAAGTAATTTAGAAAATAACTGGAATTTTTACAATGTTGAACGGTTTATCTAAGAATAAGTAATGTCTTTCCATTTGCTCAATGTCATTTTCTAACTTTTAGGAATATTTTTAAGTCTTCCTTGTATAGGTGTTATACTGTCACGATAAGCTTATTTCTAAGTATTCAGTCTACTTTCTTGCCATTAGAAGCAAGATTTTTATCTATCACTATGTACTTTACTGGTTTTTTTAATATGAATGCCTTGATTTCTGTCGGTTAATTTTTTTATCCTACTTACTGAAGTCTTTCCTTGCTTGAGTTAGCTTTATCATTGATTACCTAGGTTTTTCCAGATATGCCATATAATCATCTGTTCAATAGAAATGCCTTTCTTCTTCTTTACCAATTTTTATGCATCTCATTGATGTCTCTTGCCTAATTCCATTGACTGATATATCCAGGATGATGTTTAATAGAACAGTAGTGGAGTGAGTGGGCATTCTTGCCTTGTTCATAGCCTTCATAGAAATGCCTATAGTGTTTATCCAGCAAGTAAGATTCTGGCTTTGGAACAGAGGCATACGTATTTTAACATGTAAGGAAAGCATCCATCAATGATTGAACATTTTGTCAAAGTCTTTTTCCTCATTTTTGGAACCAATCGTTTTTTTTCTTTAGATCTATGTAATAAAGTGAATGATATTAATGAGTTTCCTAACACTGAACAAACCTTGCATTTCTAAAATAAATTCCATTTGGTCATGTTGATTATATTCTTAGAATGCTATTGGATTTAACTTCCCAATATTTTATTTCATATTTTTGCATCCAAATACACAAATGACATTAGTCTCTGGTGGGTTTGTTTAACCTCTCTTTATCAGGCTGAAATAACGATGTTATAATAAAAAATGTATAATAAAAAGTTAGAAAATTATTTTCTTTCTTTTTAGGTTCTTATAGAGCATCAGAAGCATTTGGTCTTTTAAAATATATGAGAAATACTCTGTAAAACCATCTCTTCCTGGTGCTTTTTCTGGGGTAGTCCTTAATAACTTTATTTCTTCTTGGAAAAGTGATTCATTTAGGTTTCTTAATCAGTGGGGTCAATTTAGCCATCTAAATTTTTTTAGAAAGTTATCTATTTCTTCTAGGTTTTCAAATGTATTTGCATAGAGGTCTTTAAATCATCTCCTGATTTTAAAAAATATTCTTGTTTCCGTTATTTTCCCTTCATGATTTCTTGTTTTGTAAGTTTATGCTTAATCATTTTCTTCTTGATCAAGTAAGCCAGTGATCTGTCTAGTTTATTATTTTTTCTGAAATCCAGAGTTTTTTAATTTCCATAGGTTTGGGGGGAAAGGGGGTGTTTGGTTACATAAATAAGTTCTTAAGTTGTGATTTCTTATATTTTGGCATACCCATCACTGGAACAGTATACACTGTAACCAATTTATAGTCTTTTATCCCTAACTCCCCTCCCACCCTTCCCCCCAAGTTCCCAAAGTCCATTGTGTCATTCTTATGCCTTTGAATCCTCTAGCTTAGCTCCCACTTATGAGTGAGAACATACAATGTTTGGTTTTCCATTCCTGAGTTACTACACTTAGAATAATGGTCTCTAGTTCCATCCAGGTTACTGTGAATGCCGTTATTTCATTTCTTTTTATAGCTGAGTAGTAATTCATGGCATACACATACCACAATTTCTTTATCCACTCATTGATTTATGGGCTTTTGGGCTGATTCCATATCTTTGCAACTGCAAATTGTGCTGTGATAAGCATGCATGTGCAAGTATCTTTTTCATATAATAACTTATTTTCCTCTGGGTAGATACACAGTAGTGGAATTGCTGGATCAAATGGTAGTCCTACTTTTAGTTTTTTAAGTAATCTCCACACTGTTTTTCATAGTGGTTGTACTACTTTACATTCCCACCAGCAGTGTAGAAGTGTTCCCTTTTCACCACATCCACATCGACATCTATTTTTTTTCATTTTTTTATTATGGCCACTCTTGCAGGAGTGAGGTGGTATAGCACTGTGGTTTTGATTTGCATTTCCCTGATTAGTGATGTTCAGCATTTTTTCAAATGTTTGTTGGCTGTTTGTATATCTTCTTTTGAGAATTGACTATTAATGTCCTTAGCCTACTTTTTGATGGGATTTTTTTTTTTCTCACTGATTTTTTCCTTGTAGATTCTGGATATTAGTCCTTTGCCTGATGTATAGATTGTGAAGATTTTCTCCCATTCTGTGGGTTGTCTGTTAACTCTGCTGATTATTTCTTTTGCTGTGCAGTAGTTTTTAGTTTCATTAAGTCCCATCTCTCTCTGTTTTTGTTGCATTTGGATTTGGGTTCGTGGTCATAAAGTCTTTGCCTAAGCCAACGTCTAGAAGGTTTTTTCCAATATTATCTTCTAAAATTTTTATGGTTTCAGGTCTTAGATTTAAGTCCTCGATCCATCTCGAGTTGATTTTTGTATAAAGTGAGGGATGAGGATCCAATTTCATTCTTCTACATGTGGTTTGCCAATTATCCCAGCACCATTTGTTGAATAGGGTGTCCTTTCTCCACTTTATGTTTTTGTTTGCTTTATTGAAGATCAGTTGGCTATAAGTATTTGGCTTTATTTCTGGGTTCTCTATTCTGTTCTGTTGGTCTATGTGCCTGTTTTTACACTAGTACCATGCTGTTTTGATGACTACAGCCTTATAGTATAGTTTAAAGTCAGATAATGTGATGCCTCCGGATTTGTTCTTTTTGCTTAGTTTTCTTTGGCTATGCAGGTTCTTTTTTGGTTCCATATGGATTTTAGGATAAAATCCAGGGTTTTGATATACTAATTAGCTCCATTGTATTCTCTTCTTTACCTCATTAATTTCTGCCTTTGTGACTATTACCTTCTTTATTTTCTCTTATAGTTCACTTTCTTGCTCTTTTTCTAGTTTTAGACTTGAATAATTCTTTTTTTTTTTTACCGATAATGTTTAATACTACACTTCTTTAAATGTATTCCATAGATTCTCATGTATAGTGTTTTCATTATTATTTTCCAGAAATTCTGTCATTTTAGTTTCTATTTCCCTTTTAACCCAAAATTTTCCAGTTCCCAGGTGGGAGAGCATTTTGTCTTTGTTTTTCATAATAATTTCTAGTTTTATTGCCCTGTGATCAGAAAGTACTATTTGTAATAGTTCTGCTTTCCAAAGTTGCTCATGATTATATAAATATACTCAATTTTTGTGAAAGTTCCATAAGCACTTGAGAAACAGGTGTATTCTCCAGTGTCAAGATTTAACAGGAGTCTGGTGTGTGTTAATAATAGCCACCTTATTGATGGTGTTGTTTAGGTCTTCTCTTACATTTTTCACCTATTCGATCGCCCTTTGTTAAGAATAGTGTATAAATTCTCTATTACAAATGTTTTTCTTCCTGTGTCCCCTTGCATTTTCTGTAGTTTTTGCTTTATGAATTTCCTGTGTTATTTGGTACATAGATTTTTATCAATATTATATCTTCATTGTGAGTTCAAACTTTTAGTATTAAAAACATACTTGTCATGTTAATGCTTTGAGGATTGGATTTTACTTTCTTTGCCATAAGGACCACTATCTCTAGGCCTTCATGTTAAATAATAAGATATATTTTGTCCATTCTTTGTTTTTTTAGCTTACAATTTAAACTTTTATTTTTATTCATTTCCTTTTTTCTTCATTTTTTAAATTGTGCTAAAATACGCTTAACAGAATTTGCCACAGTAAACATTTTTAACTGCACAGTTCCATGATGTTAAACACATTCGTATGTTGTACAACCATCACCACCATCTGTCTCCAGAATTCTTTCTATCATCTCAAATTGAAACTCTGTACCATTAACCAATAACTCCCCTTTCTGCCTCCCTCCAGGCTCTGGCAGCCACCATTCTACTTTCCGTTTCTATGAATTTGACTATCCAGGTGCCTCATATAAGTGGGATCACACAGTATTTGTCTTTCTGTGATTGGCTTATTTCACTTATCATAATGTCTTCAAGATTCATCCCTGTCCTAGAATATGTCAGAATTTTATCTCTTTTTAAGGCCAAGTAATTTGCAAATTACATATATAATAAGAGATTAATATTGAGAATATGTTTTAAAAACTCCTAAAACACAACAACAAATAACTCTATCTAAAAATTAGCAAAGGATTTGAATAGAGATTTCTTCCAAGAAGATTTACATGGCCAATAAACACATGAAAAGAGGTTCACCATCACCAATCATTAGGGAAATACAAATCAAAACTACAATGAAATATTACCTCACACCCATTAGGATGGGCAACATTAATGGGTGAGTTAAGCCCATTTACATTATGGATGTGACTGATAATTCATCACAACTTTGTCAAAATATCATAAAATTATGTGGATTGTGTTACATTTGCTATGTTTCTTTAGAAGGCAAATATTCCTTGTTCTTTAAATTATAAACATTGTCTGTTGTTGGGTTTTAGGAGTTTTTATATATTCTGAATATTAATCTCTCATCATATATATAATTTGCAAATTACTTGGCCTTAAAAAGAAAATTCTGACACATGGTAAAACAGGGATGAACCTTGAAGATATTATGCTAAGTGAAATAAACCAATCACAGAAGGACAAATACTGTGTGATTCCACTTACGTGAGGCACCTGAGTAGTCAAATTCAGACTATTAAAACAATAGCAAGTACTGAAGAGGATGCAGAGAAATGGGAATTCTTGTGCACTGTTGGTAGGATTGTAAAATGGTGCAGCCACTGCAGAAGACAAAAAATAAAATTACTGTATGACCCAGCAATTACATTTCTGGGCATACACCCAAAATAACGGAATGCAGGGTTTTGAAGAGACACAGGACACACCATTACATTATTGATGTGATGGATAATTCATCATGACTTTGTGAAAATATAAAATTATGTGGATTGTGTTACATTTGCTATATTTTTAGGAGGTAAATATTCCTGTTCTTTAAATTATAAAAAATACTTTGGGTATTTAAGAAAGTTTATATTTTTGTTCTAGTAATTACCTTTGTACTTACAACATTTAAATGTCCCTAATTCCCTTTTTTTCTTATTATATCATGTACTATCTGGTTTTTCAGTTTTTAATTTGTATATAATAGTTGCACATATTTACAGGGTACACTTAATATTTTGCTACATGCATACAATGTGTAATGATCAAATATGGGCAACTGAGATGTTCACACCTCAATCATTTATCATTTATTTGTGTTGAGAACATTCCACATATTCTCTTCCAGTAATTTTGAAATGTACAATAAAATGTTGTTAACTGTAATTGCCCTACTGTGCTGCTAAACACTAGAACTTATTTCTTCTATGTAACTGTGTTTTTGTTCCCCTTAACCAATCTCTATTTCCTTCTCCTCTTTTACTTTCCCATTCTCTGGTAACCACCATTCTATCTCTACCTCCATAAGATCAATTTTTTTAGCTCCAACATGTGAGTGAGAGCATGTGCTATTAGGCTCTGTGCCTTTCGCTTAACCTAATGTCCTCTAGTTCCACCTATGTTGCCGCAATTGACATGATTTTATTATTTTTATGGCTGAATAGTATTCCATGTGTATGTGTGCCATGGTTTCTTTATTCATTTATCCACTGATGGACACTTAGGTTGATACCATGTTTTGTCTATTGTAAATCGTATTGCAATGGCCATGAGAGTGTAAAGATTTCTTTGATGTACTGATTTGCTTTCTTTTAGAAATATACCCAACACATCAGTGGGCTTGCTAGATCATATGGTAGATTTGTTTTTAGTTGTTGAGGAACCTCCATACGATTTTCCATAGCGACTGAACTAGTTTACACTCCCACCAAGAATGCACAAGGATTCCCTCTTGTTCTTCATTCTTACCAGAATCTGATGTTGCCTGTGTTTTCAAAAAAAGTTATTTTAACTGGGATGAGATGATATCTCATTGTGGTTTTGATTTTCATTTCCCTGGTGATGAATGCTTTTCACATACCTATGGGCCACTGTATGGCTTCTTTTGAGAATGTCAGTTCAGATCTTTTGCCCGTTTTTAAATTAGATTTTTTTTTCTATAGGGTTGTTTGAGCTCCTTATATATTCTGGTTATTAATTTCTTGTCAGATGGATAGTTTGCGAATATTTTCTCCCATTCTTTAAGTTGTCTCTTCACCTTGTTGATTGTTTCATTAGTTGTGTAGGAGCTTTTTAGCTAGATGTAATCCTAATTGTCTATTTTTGCTTTTGTTGCCTGTGCTTTTAAGATCTTACTCAAAAATATTTGCCCAAATGTTCTAAAGTGTTTTCCTAAGTTTACTTCTAATGTTTTCATAGTTTCAGGTCTTACATTTAAGTATTTAATCCATTTTGAGTTGGTTTTTGTATATGGTGAGAGGTAAGGGTCAAGTTTCATTCTTCTGCATATGAATATTCAGTTCTCCCAGAACCATTTATTAAGCAGATTCTCCTTTTTCAAATGTATGTTCTTAGTGCCTTTGTCAAAAATGAATTGGCTATAAATGCATAGATTTACTTATAGATTCTCTATTCTGTCTATGTGGTCTATGTGTCTGTTTTTAGTGTATTTATTACCGATTTCTGCTTTGTGTTTACTATGAGACTTAAAAAACACATCCTATAACAAGTTATTTTAAACTAATAACAAATTAACTTTGATCACAAAGAAAATAAACAAGCAAAGAACAAACTAAAAATCCCTACACCTTATTTCCTCCTATATTTTTACCTTTTGTTGTCTCAATGTAAGTCTTTTTGTTTTGCCTATCTCTTTAAAAATTGTTACTATTCTTTAATAGATTTGTCTTTTCCTACTTATACTAAAGAGATGAGTGGTTTGCACACCACAATTACAGTATTAGAGTGTTCTGAATTTTTCTGTCTGCTGACTTTTACCATTGAGTTTTATACATTCAGATTATTTCTTGTTGCACATTAGCAACATTTTCTTTCAGACTAAAGACTTCCTTTCAGGCTTTCTTGTAAGACACCTCTGGTTGGCATGAATTATCTGGCTTTTGTTTGTCTGGGAAAGTTTCTTTCTCAGGCTTGAAGCATAGCTTTGTTGAGTAAAGCATTCTTAGGTTGGAAGAGTTTTTTTTTTTCCATTAGCCCTTTAAATATGTCATCCAACTTCCTCCTGGTCTATAAAGTTTCCACTGAGAATTCTGCTGCCAGACGTATCCAAGCTTCTTTAGATGTTATTTGATTATTTTATCTTGCTTCTTTTATAATCTTTTCTTTGTCCTTTACATTTGAGAGCTTGATTATTAGATAAATTGGGATAGTTTTACTTGGGTTGCATATTCTTGGTGATCTTTGATCTTCTTGTTCTTTGGTCTTCCTATCTTTCTCTAGGTTTGGAAAGTTCTCTGTTATCACTTATTTGAATAGACTTTCTACCCTTGTCTTTTTCTCTACTCCTTCCTTAAGGCCAGGACTCCTGGATTTGTCCTTTCTTGATCTTATAAGAGTTCTTCATTCTTTTTTATTCATTTTTCCCCTCTGACTGTATATTTTTTAATGGCTTAACTATTAGTCCCTTTTGTGTTGCCACAAAGGGATACTTGAGGCTGGGTAATTTAGAAAGAAAAGAGAATTATTTGGCTCACAGTTATGCACAGGAAGTAATGGTGCCAGCATTTGTCTCTGCTGGGGGTCTGAGGGAGTTTTTCCTCATGGCAGAAGGCAAGGTGAGCCAGTGTGTCACGTGATCAGAGAGGGAGCAAGAGGGAGTGATGGAAGGAGTTCCGCACTCTTGAACAACCAGCTCCTCCGTGAACTAAAAGAACAAGAACTCGTTAACGGGAAGGCACCAAGCCATTTATGAGAGATCCACCCTCGTGACCCAAATACCTCCAAGTAGGCCCCATCTCCAACACTGGGGATCACATTTCAACATGAGATTTGGAGGGGACAAACATTCAAACTATATCAGCCTGTTTTCAAGCCCAATTCTTCTGTCTGATCAATTCTGCTATTGAGGCACTCTGATGAATTTTTCAGTTTTTAATTATGTTTTTCAGCTCCAGGATTTAATTATTTATTATTATCTCAATCTTGTGTTAAATTAATCTGATAAATTTCTGAATGGCTTTTCTGTGTCTTTTTTTTTTTTTTTTTTTTTTTTTTTGAGACAGAGTCTTACTCGGTCACTCAGACTGTAGTGCAATGGCACAGTCTCTACTCACTGCAACCTCTGCCTCCCAGGTTCAAGCAATTCTCCTGCAT